GGATTGTGGGTAGCACTGCACACTGAGAGCAGGGCAGGACTGTGTGCAGCACTGCAGAGTGAGACGGTGGGGGCAGGACTGTGTGCAGCACTGCAGAGTGAGATGGCAGGGGCAGGACTGTGTGCAGCACTGCAGAGTGAGATGGCAGGGGCAGGACTGTGTGCAACACTGCAGAGTGAGATGGCAGGGACAGGACTGTGTGCAGCACTGCAGAGTGAGATGGCAGGTACAGGACTGTGTACAGCACTGCAGAGTGAGATGGTGAGGGCAGGAGGGAAGGGTGAGCAGAGAGAGGATCACACATCTTCATGCTGGCATCAAGGGGAGTCGGACTTTATTCCTGTTTCTCTTTCTTTGTGATTATATTGTATTCAAATCCGTGAAAAGTAAAAGTGTGGGAGCCTTGGATGGAGAGCTCACTTGCAGTTACTCATCATGAACAGATTTTTTCATCTTTTCCTTGTCATCCAAACCAAATTAGAAAGATGAGGGAATTGTGTTGCTAACCCACAGGTAAGCTGAAGTCTTGCGAGATGAGAGTCTTTAGGATGAAGTCGTTTTTATCAAGACCTTCAGCAATTGATTTCTTTAAGAAAATGGAATATGTGTTCTGTAAGGGAGAATGAGTTTAGCTTGTAAGAATAAAAAGCTAGCTGGTATTTGCCTTAGGATTACCTTTTTTGTTGTAGTTTGGCCGGGGCTGGGTTCAAACCTACCACCCTCAGTATATGGGGCGGGCGCCCTACCCATTGAGCCACAGGCACCACCCCAGGATTATCTTTCTCTGTTGGTCAGTGAGGTTTTGCCAGTAAGTCCTTGGGTCTTTTCCCATACATACAGCGTGGAGATGGCCACTAGGTGTGCTGTGTGCCAGGCCTTCTTAGCTCAGACCACAGCTGTAAGGTCTGGGCCAAACTATGACTGTACAGTTGAGCAGTGTATACATATATGGCCCCAAGACAGAAAAGACAGAAATGTCAGCTGAGTCTAATTCAGCCTAACTCTTGCCTAGGCAAAGACAGTTGTATGATCAGCACTTTAAAACGTGCTGACTGATCCCTCAAAGGATCATTTATAATCGTGTCAAATACTCTGCATAGATGTCTTAAGGTGACAGTAGAGTTGATGATTCTCAACACAGGAGGCTTATAGCATGTAGAAGTAAAAATGAGATGAGCATTGCCTCTTCTGGATGGACAAATTTGTCTTTACTTTCAAAAAAAAAGAAGGCCTGGCATGGTGGCTCATGCCTGTAATTCTAGCATTCTGGGAGGCCAAGACAGAAGGATGCTTTGAGCTAAGGAGTTCAAGTCCTGCCTGAGCAAGAGGGAGACCCTTTCTCTACTAAAAATAGAAAAATCAGCTGGGCATAGTGGCAGGCCTCTGTAGTCCCAGTTACTGGGGAGACTGAGGCAGAAGGATCACTTAGGCCTTAGAATTTGAGGTTGAGGTAAGCTAGGCTGACACAGCCAGAGCAACAGAGTAAGACTGTGTCTCAGAAAAAGAAAAAGAAAACCAGTAACTCAGGAGAGAAAGACTAGGAGAAAGCACACTGGTGGCCGCTCAGCTGTTCCCTGGGGACTCGGCATGTCCTCCTACCTGAGCTCTTTCTGTACTCAGCCTCTGCAGTCACCAGACCAAACCCGAGATTTTCGTATTCTTCATTCTCCTCCATGCTTATACTCTCTCATGCTCCACTGGTGAGGGGATTCCTGATTTTTGAACTTGAAAAAAATAACCCCAGTTTACATTAAAGATTAATAAGATTTAAAGTAAAGAAGATGTGGCTTAGAGGGGATGGAAGGTAACTTCAGGGAGGATCAGTGAATGATATGCTGTCTAGATTAAAGGCAGGAAGATGAAGTGGGCTTCTGGGTAATGTGAGTAACAGTCTTTGTCATTGTCTTGGCCCTTGAAATTGACGAGGAGCTCAGAACAGAAGGAGGCCTGTTAGGCCCTTTCTGTGAGTTACATACCTGATCCTCCTATGAGGTGCGTCCTAGGAAGATGGTAAGAGATGACAAAGACCTGAGCCTACATAGCGTGATTAAATGCTGCCCATGTGACAGAATTATTATTAACAGCATTGATAGTGATGATCCACAGTATCCTCGGCTAACTGTACTGTGAAGCGGTGGTCATGGTGCTTGTAAGGTAATGTGTGGGTCATAGCCTGACCTTTCATGGTTGAGGGGGGCAGATGAGGAAGAGCTAGCTCTACCAGGGCTCTGAAATATAGATTATAGAAAGTAATTTATTCCACTAGTTAAACAGAGTCATTGGTTCAGAATTAAATTTGTGTACAGATAGAAGGAAGCCTGAACAGTCACCTCCTCTGTCTCTCCCTCCTCCGCGTCACCTTTCTCCAACCAGTCGTGTGTGTTCGATGCTCTCCTGACACGGATGACCTTACCAGCCCCGCGGGAGTGTGTTTCCAGCACTGGTTCTTCCTTCTCTTGCTCACCCCCCCCCCCCACTTGCCTATCCTAAATTTCCCTGAATGTGTTTATCCCTTCTTCTTTATACAGTTGGCAGTTTTTCAGAGCACTTGGATCAGATAAATGGACGGAACGAGTGTGTGGACAGTGCAGATAATCCCTCAAAGCCACCCAGTGAACCTGCTTCTCACATGGCTCGGCAGCGATTAGAAAGCACAGAGAAAAAGAAACTCTCGGGGAAAGTCACAAAGTCCCTTTCTGCCAGTGCTCTGTCCCTCGTGATCCCCGGAGGTAGAGAGACACCTGCTCGCATGAAATTGTGTGATTTGTGCATGCCCCCTCCCCAGTGTGGAATGCTGATTGGGATGCAAGATCGCTTGAAGCAGGAGCGGGTGGCGCCCAGCGCAGGTCTGCATCGGGGCCTATTTCATCTCTCTCTCTGCATCAGGAAACGAGAGAGGCTTCCTTCCCGTGAAGGCGTCTTTCTTTTATTTTCTTTCTTTTACTTTTCTCCCTCCAAGATGAATGATAAATTTCCCTCCCATGAGTAATTTTTCTTTCTCTAGACTGTGTATCATTTACACACTTTGCAGAGCTGTTTACAGCCTGGGTGCTGGAAAGCTAAGTATAGTTTTTCTCATCTAATTAATGAGGAAGCAGACACAGAGAACTGAAGCTTTTCCATCACTAGAGTCACAGAGAGTCACAGCATTGAAAGTACAAGTTGTCTTAATCCTGTCGGTTGAGCTGTGCTTCCTCCTACTGGTAGTCACATCAGTTTCTGTCCCTTTTTGGAACTCTGGTCTTAAGGAGGGTTATGTTGAATGTCCGCATTTTCTCACACCCTGGCTTTGCCTCTACTGGTCACTACGTCTGTAGTAAATCCACTGGCAGAGATGAAATACGTACCCCGATGATCGTGATGCCACTGAAATGACAGCAGGACAGTGGAAATGGGAAGTGAATTAAAGGGATTGTTTATATCTTTACAATTGCGTATTTGTGCAGAAAGAAATTTGATATAAACAAATGCTCTTTGGGGAGTAGTGCCCACTCCAACAGATTCAGTTTCTGGGAGATGTCCCACTTAGCACCAGGGGACAAACACCTTTCTCCCTAGTCTGACTGACTCTTCATAACCCCACATGGTGGTCCCAGGACAGCTGCACCAAAGGGGAGGTAAGTTTGGTGCAGTCCAGTGTACTTTCAAAACCTGGCATGAAAGCCCATACTTTGGTAAAATAGGGAAATTATTGAATGTGGGACGCTAAAGGAATGTATCAAGAGGTAAGAAATTAGGAGCTTGGCTTTTTAGCAGTGTGTGTCCATGTGCATGTTTTGAAGGTCCCTGGCCTTTGATTATAGGGAGGGAGCCAGCAAAGTAGAAGCAAGATGCCACGTGAAGTCAGGAGTAAGGCAGCGTCAGTAGTGGTGCATTTAGCTTTGCTCTTCTTCAGACAAGCGTAAAAATTGGAACACAGTGGCCCACTGTGACCACACGGGGACTTGCCACACCCACGTGAGCCTTCAGTAGCACTAGTGCTTTGCGGTCTGGCTCCAACTAAGCCCACACTTAAACCTCAGCATCCTTTATGGATCATTCCACCTTTTCTCAGAAACATACACCCGTATGTACACATACAGATGATTTCACGTCACCACTCAACATCTGTTTAGATTCAAATAGATGGAACAGTGATATGAACTATCAATTAAAAGTATATTTGTGTCTTAGTTCATTTCCCCTGGTGGGTAATACAGACACAACAGAATGTATTGTTCATACTTCTGGAGGCTGGGAAGTACGAGATCAAGGTGTCAGCCAATTCAGTGTCTGACGAGAGCCCAGAAACCTTACCAGAATTATGGGTAACCTATGAAGAGAATCAGTGGTAACCCTAGTAGTGAGTTGTTATTTTATAGAGAAGTTACCACGTCGTGTTTTCTGGATTAGAATTCTTTAATCAGTCACTAGCATTGTAGAAAGCAACTGATAAATTAGTAAATTGCTTTCCTGGGCGTGTGTGTTGAAAAGGACCATGGTAAAGTTGTTTAGTGCAAGACTTGGAGCTGTGGTGTCTTTCTCTGTAGCCCGGAAAGTCTTCTCTGTGTTAGGATGTTCTTGAAATACATGCATCTATGATTTATTTCTTTAATTAAAATCAAATATATTAAAATATCACAGCCAGAAAGTTGCTTATCTGTGTCTTTTAATTAGTGTAGAGAATTAAGAAATTATAACTTTAGGGTATTCACTGAAAAATTAGTTAAAATAGAAGCACTTTTGAAGTTTCCTCAACAGGCGTCTCCTTCAAAATCCATGCTTATCGCCTCTTTATTTTGCTATTGGAAATGAACGGGTTTGTTTTGTGACCGTGCTCGCAGTCCCGGCTGGAGTGGATGTGCGTGACCAGCACCGGCTCTGATGACTGGCTTCTTTGTTCGCAGATATGTTTGCTGTTTCCCCACTGGGAAGTCCTATGTCTCCCCACTCCCTGTCCTCAGACCCTTCTTCTTCACGAGATTCCTCTCCCAGCCGAGACTCTTCAGGAGCTTCTGCCAGTCCACATCAGCCTGTTGTGATCCACAGTTCGGGGAAGAACTATGGCTTCACCATCCGAGCCATCCGGGTGTATGTGGGAGACAGTGACATCTATACCGTGCACCATATCGTCTGGGTGAGACAACAGTCTCTCAAACTTGCTGGTTTGCATTTTTAGCCAACCTGGAGAGTAGAGAAGTTGGCGGAGGCATAGTTAATAGCAAATGTATTTCCTTTTAAGATGGCAGTTGGGACATGTTTTATTTTCCTTTTAGAGCTCTTCCTCTTTGTCTATGTGATGGAATTGAAATTGGCAAAAACTAATCATTCCTCTTAATTCTGTCCCGTTCTCCTATTTGATTATCTACTCTTACATGCTAAGCTGGTAGACGTAGTCAGAGACAGTGTTTCCATCCTTCTTTCATTCTGTCTGTCTTTTTCTTCCACCCTGGTCTTTTAAAAAATTACCTCCTTTAGCCGGGCGTTGTGGCAGGTGCCTGTAGCCCTGACTACTTGGGAGCCTGAGGCGAGAGAATCACTTAAGCCCAAGAGTTTGAGTTTGCTGTGAGCTGTGACTCCTTGGCACGCTACTGAGGGTGACATAGTAAGACTCTGTCTCAAAAAAAAAAAAAATTACCTTCTTAATTCACTTGCCATTTTTCAAGAAACCATATGAATTGTCTTATTTGGGAACAATGACAGAATAGGAATAATAACCATGCCTTTTTGATTTTCTGTCAGGAGGTCAGAACCATTTGCGCGTTAATTTAGAATTTTCTGCCAGAAGAAACTGTACGTGTTAGGGTTGTCACGTGTTCACTCACAAACATATTCTCTGCCCTTGGACTTTAGAACGTAGAAGAAGGAAGTCCAGCGTGCCAGGCGGGACTGAAGGCTGGGGATCTGATCACACACATCAATGGCGAGCCAGTGCACGGACTAGTCCACACGGAAGTTATAGAGCTCCTGCTAAAGGTATCGCGTTCTTTATGTTGGGGCCCAAGCGGAGGCAGGTAGCCCAAAGGAACTAGTACCAGGAGATTGGTGGCTCAGTGGTACATCCATAGTCTGTGTCATTATTGAGCAAGCATTTAGTAGTCTGAGGTTTAATATAAAGACAAAGATTTTATGAATTCTGATTTTATATTATGAAATAATAACCTTATATCTGCACACCTGTCCCCTAATTTAATTTAGCTTCTCATTCTCAACCATAAATAGTAAGAATTCTCTTTCTTTATATACCTCACATAGTAAAATCTGTTTGAGAATTACCTACTTCAAGGGGATTTTGTTTAGGAACTTTCAATAGGAACTTTCTAGAATAATAGAAAACAAAACAGTATTAAACTGTGAGGTTAGCCTGAGAGTTGGAGTTCCTTTAAAAGACAGAATTGTGAAGATACACAGGTTGGACTGTCAATTATAAAAAGAAGCAATGGCAGGAGGAGGGATCCTAGCAAGTATGAGGCTTCCCTCCCTCTTTTCAAATCAACATGAATGAGGATTCATTTCTATGTAAAATGTAAGCCAGATGGAATCCATGGAGGAAGGCCACCTGCCTGTAAGTGGGAGAGAGCACGAGTGCACTGATCCTCTCAGCCAGTTCTGTTGGGTTATTTGCTTTGCCACCTACTGGCTCCAGAATATAAAATTATACCTCCAAATATGAATCTGGTTAAAACAAATAAAGATAAATTTATGTATTTGGCTCGGCGCCTGTGGTTCAAGCCGCTAAGGCGCCAGCCACATACACCTAAGGTGGCGGGTTCGAATACCCAGCCCGGGCCCGCCAAACAACAATGATGGCTGCAACCAAAAAATGGCCAGGCGTTGTGGCGGGCGCCTGTGGTCCCAGCTACTTGGGAGGCTGAGGCAGGAGACTCGCTTGAGCCCAGGAGTTGGAGGTTGCTGTGAGCGTGATGCCATGGCACTCTACCCAGGCGGATAGCTTGAGGCTCCGTCTCAAAAAAAAAAAAAAAAAAAAAATTATGTATTTGACTTAAAAATTTCTGAGAAAAAGAAGGCTAATTTATCTGCAATGAGAAATACAGTTCCTAACTGTAGGATTATTTTATAATCAACAGGCCTTTTGCTTCTTGAGCAGTTTTCAGATTCTTGAAGGGGGCTGCCAGCCAGAGAGATGTGCGGCTGGCAGGACCCACAGTCTAATTAGGGAGGCAAAGCACAAAGACCTGTAAGCCTAAACATATACGTATCTCCTAAATAGTTGTTCAGATGTTTCTACAGCACTCGTCCTGAGGCTGGTAGACATCGGTAACATGGCAATTAAGATATGGTCTGTGCCTTCAAAGTATGAGATATGTATGTAGCAAAAACAGCACGGCTTAATTATTCTGGCTGTAGCAAAGGGAGGAATGTCATGGTTCTGGAGAGATGATCCAGAGAGTGGGGAGAGGCATCACAGGGAAGAGAGACGCTGCTGGAACTTAGAAGAAAATGAGGAATTTGGAGGAGACAATAGGGAGGTAGGGTGCACGTCTTTCAAAAGCAAGAGGGTATAATGACTTTTCTCCTCTGCTCTCTGCTGTTCTCCCAGCCCACGTGAATATATTCTTGAAGAGATCTGAGGTCTGAGCTACATCCCAGGAGTAGTAAACAGCACGTCTATCAAAATGTCAGGTGTGAAGGAGTCGGTAGAGTTATTGCTGTTGATTAATTTAATGGCACACGGCATTAATGAGAATTTAGTCTTAAGCTCAGGCCCCATGGGGGTTGGGAGCTCAATAAGGCTGTAGAATTAAGGCGGACTGTGGGTTTCTCCTTTTGCAGTCTAGGAGTTAGTCTGGGAGGACTCAGGCACCACGTGGCTACTTAGCTGTGTCCTGATTCGTGTCCTGGTCCACGTGCCTTCAGTTTCAAGGCAGATGCCTTAAAATGACTGGAGTTAAGCTATACTTTTGCTGTATGGCCCACTAAGGAGAAACAGATAGCACTTCTGGCACATAAGTGCCTAAGATATGACGTTTTTAATTCCATTCAGCATCTGTCTCTGATAATATTGTTTGTCCAACTGAGATGGAGCAAAATGTCCAAGAAGTGGGAGGCAGAGCAGGATTGCTGACTGTGAGCTTCCTGCACTGTGAAAGTCACCTGAGATGACCTCAGATTCCCAGAGACAAAAGTCAGGAGAGACAAAGGGATTCGTGAGTGTGACCAGCTGCTTCTCTCACAACACTGAATCCTGTGGTCCGCAGTGCCCCATGGCGGGCTCCAAGCCGCCCCTCTGTAGAAAGGCCCAGGGAAGTCTGATTCTCCCTTTGTCTCCTCTGTCCAATATGAGCCTTTAGTTCATAGGACTGCAGAGGTGGCCGACAGGGCTGCTCGTTACCTCTAAAGTGCTCCTGGAGCTTTCTAGTCGTTCCCCTTGACCTTTTATGTTAGAGGACAAGTCTGTGTGGTGTGGGTCACTTCTCCTGGTTGTCATTCATTCTACTAGAGATTTCCAAATCTTGGCATCTGTGACTAAAAGAAAGGTTAAAGGGATTTCAAATGATAATGTACGTTTTGTCTTCTGTATTCCTCGTAACAATGTTGTGTTATATGCAGAATCTCTCCTGCCAGGGCATATCTTTCGGTCATCTCATCTCTCTCCATAACAACAGAATAAAAAGTAATAGACTGAAATATATATATATTGGGAAATATGGATTTGTTTATTTTGCTGAGACATAATTAGTCAGTGTCATAATTTATTCTGTAAAGTATTTTAATATGATTCTGGATTTTAAAACTTTCCTTCTCCTTTAAACTATGAAATTTGAATGTGCATTTCCCCTAAAGCTCTCTGGGAAGGTCTCTTAGCAGACTCAAATGATCCCATTGATAACATTTTGCCCTGATGTGGTTATGGAGCCCCTCCCACAACCTAAAGCCTGGGAACAGTCCCCATGCGTCGCTGAGGACAGTGGAGTGAGCCCTATCGCACCCTCGGGAGCTGCGGGGTGCTCTGTCACAGATCCAGACGGAGGATCCTGCCCGTGGTTCATAAAAGAAGCTCTCAAGAGGAGCAACTAGAGTGTAATGAAACAAAGAGGAGACAGGGATTTAATTATCTTCCCAGTGAACTGTGTAATCATGCAGCTTTCTTCCAAATTCAGCCAACGATTCTCGGATGAAGGGTGTCAAGTGGCGGGTATCAGTGCTGGGCCCCTGTGTGCCGGCACTGGTTTCACAGCAGCACGGTGGCTGTGTGCCAGTGTTCTTGGATGCTGTTTACACAGTGATTTTTGCTTGCCAAGTACTTTACAGAATCTCACGGCACCTTCAGAGAAAGGTGGAGAGGCTATGGCAGAGGGCTGTGTGTGCATGTTTAGAACTGCAGGAGCACATGCACAATATTTATCTTTGGGAGGATGGACATAGGAAGCACTTTTCATGTTTCATGTTTGGTCTTATTTGCTCTCACAAATTCAAAGGGAAGCTCTACCTTCTACACACAGGGAAACTTGTCACTTGGCATCCTGGGTGTGTGGGATTACAGGATGTCATGGTTATCCAGCTCTGCACCCCAAGCTTTTCTGCCTGCCACAGGGAGTTAGCCACTGCCATTTGACAATCTAAGACAGGGATCCTCAAACTTTTTAAACAGGGGGCCAGTTCACTGTCCCTCAGACCATTGGAGGGCCAGACTGCGGGCCCCGGGACGAGTCGGCTGCTAAGCAGGACAGGCAGTGGCGGCAAATACACCCAGCAGGCCAGATAAATGTCTTAGGCGGGCTGCATGTGGTCCATGGGCCATAGTTTGAGGACGCCTGATCTAAGAGAACTTTGTATGTAGACTTAAGTCATTCTTTGCCCAGTGGAGTGTTGAGTAGAGACCATGTTGACCCAACACTGCTCCCTGTTCCCATGGTAACTGCCAGGCTAACTTCTGTGATCCAAGAAACTTTCCACTCAACCAGGTCACTGTTTTAGAGTGGTATTAGTTTAAACCCCCAAAACATAAAAGAAGCCGTAAAATTCCACCAGTCCCTGTTTTATGAAAGAATTTTCCATGAACTCTGGGACCCTCTAGATCCTAAAATGGGGACCATCGAATAGCGTCATTGCCATCCTCACCTATTTACTGAGCCCCTTGAATGTGCAGAGCCTTGTGGGAAGTACTACAAAGGTGACACAAAAATGACACATAAAAATAGCTAATGGAAATAGAACCCTTGGGACCTACCAAGCTCTGTTTTAAGTGCGTTCCAGGAAGGTAGGTGCTTCTCATTTCACAGATATAAAGAGAAGTTAGAGCAACCAAAGTGTGCGTGCTGGGGAGGGGCAGTGCGGCTCTGGAGCCTGTGTTTCTCTCCTGCTACTCTGCCCATGAAGTCTCTGTTTGCCAGTTGCTTATAATGTCCACGAGGGGGAAACAGTGGCAATGCCAGCCTGTAATCAACGTGTGGAACATAAGGAACAGACCATAAACACAGCAGAAATTCTGAGGAGGGATGGCTCTTCTCCAGAGTGGACAGGAATGGTGTAAAAAATCCAGGGTTGTCAGTGCAGAGAGGGCTTTGAGAGATGGCTGGAGATTTAGTATATGGAAAGGGGGTGCAGGAGTATCTAGACACAGTGAAGAGATGTGTAAACCCAGGGGCAGGAGACCTCAAGACATGTGAAATACATAGGTGAACCAGTGGGCTAGAGCCTGGGTTAAGCCTGAAGTGTGTGAGATGGCTGGGACTGGGTAGTGAAGGGTGGGTCAGGGTGCGGACACAGGGGGACAGGGAGAGCCCATCCTCCATCTGGAGTTTGCAGAGAAAGGAATGTAAAAGCAATTGCAGGCAGGTACTCAGGGCCAAGGGATAGCTAACACGGCCAGACTTATGCTGCTGCATTCATTTCAGCCCCTTTCAAAGAACTTTCTTCCAGCTGTGCACTCATTACAAAAATAGCTTAAAAGTGAACTAATTGAACATTTAACGGTCTGCTGACTTTATTTTTGTTGTTATTTTTTAAACAAGTGCCTCAGAATTTGGCCCATAAGAGGTAATCAAGAGAAGTAAATTTTCGATAAACCAACCCGGGAAGCCCCTTTGAGTGGAGTGGCGGAGTGGATCCACCAGGTGGCAGACTTCTCAAATCTCAGCTGATATTTTTCCAATCCTTTACCATTTTTACAACCATTAATGTTTCCAGCATAACATCCTTGTTTCTGTATTTGCCCTTGGAGAAATTGGCTTTGGTGTCTGTTAAGTCCAATGAGTTGTCCTCTGGAACAACTACATGTAAAAACAAGAAAGAGCAAACTGGTCTGGTTTCTGTAAGGGAATGAACACGTGTGTGTACAAGCCCAGTGGCGTCCTGTCATGTAGCAAGCCCTGGTTGTCACTCTTTCCTGATGGTGGGTGTTGAGGGGGTACATTTGTCTTATCCAGTTTTGTGGCGTGTTTCTATCGCCTTCTTTTTTTATTTTTTGCAGTTTTTGGCCGGGGCTGGATTTGAACCTGCCACCTCCGGCATATGGGGCCAGCACCCTACTCCTTTGAGCCACAGGGGCCACCCTCCTTCACTTGTTTTTGACAGTGCCTCATGTCAGTGAAATGCTCATTGCTCAGTAAGCACCAGCCACACACTGTGCCAGGCAGCAGAGGGGGCCCAAATGTATTGGGGATGAGGGGCAGGAGAACCAGGCTTGGGCTCTTCCTCTGTGGCTTTGGGAAAGAAGAATCTCAGGGTCTCTGAATCTATTTCCTTTATCTGTACAGCAGGGATATAACAACCTCTTCCAAATCATCAGGCTGAAACAAACAACCCTCACACCTTAGTTAAGGGGAATAAATTGAGAAACTATATAGGGTGACTGTAAAGTTTGTGTGCAGTTTTAAATTGCACACTATTTTAAATTGCACATGAACTTCATGGCCACCCTGTATATGAAAAACGGTTTAAAGATCCAAATGTGGTTTTAAAATGTCAGGTGGCATTGTTAATCTCTTATGGATAAAGATATAAAAGTTATGCTGAATTGTATTAGGAAGGAGCAGGGCTGGATTAAGCCCCAGTGACCGTAGGCTGTGTGTGTCTACTCTGCGAATATGGCCGAGGATGGAGAGAACTTGAGGGAAAGGTACACTCCAACCATGTGTGATGCCTCTTTCCTTCACCATAGTAAAATCTAAAATTTCAGCACATGGCCTCGATTTGTGAAAAAAATGCCTCATTCCAGAAAACCTTCACCAGTAGACCTTGCCTGTAAGCTGATATTTTCATTTAAAGAATAACTAGAAGGCTAATAGGTAAAGATTTATTTTTAAAATTTTGGCATTTGCATATAGAATGGCTAACTTACTCTTTGTGCTCTTGTTGAAGTTAAAATCCTATTGCCTTGACATTTTCTACAAATATGACATGAAATATGGAATTATGTTCTTAGACATATAACTCTAAACCCGATGGTAAAATACGAAGACTTTTCCAATATTAAACTGATGTGTGACATGAAAAAACCATTCCTTGAAGAAGTGCAAGTAACCAAAACAAATAAGAGACAGTATCAACACTTATGACAGTGGAAAAGTCGGAAAGCATAGCGGTAGGAAATTGCAGATTTTGATTCACCCATCTGATGGAGTATCTTCAGATAGCCAGTAAAAGTCGTGTTCTGAGAGAATATTTAATGATGGAAAATTTTCCCGAAAGTGTGTAATGTGAAATGAAAAACAACATAAGAAAATATTTCACATTGTATATGAAAACACCACACTGTACTCCATGATTGCATTAATGTACACAGCTATGATTTAACTAAAAAAGACATAAAACTATAAACATAGATTAAAATTGTTTCTGAAAGCATGTAAATATACACATGTCTGAAAAAAAGACCAGCAGGAAATACATTGAAATAGTATGAGTGATGGCTGCGTGATAGACTTCTCAATGATTTTTATTTTATCATTTATACTTTACTATCTATTTCTGATAATGGTGTGGATTACTTCCCAGTTTGGTGGGAAGGAAGTAGATGTTATCATGAACACAGTCATTGCCTGTTCTTTCCCATCCCCTGCCCCTTCCCATCCCCTGCCCCTTCCCTACTTTCCTCTCCTTCTCTCGGTACTGCTCGGCTGGTGGATGTCTTCTGGGCAAGGGCCTTTAAAAGACCCTTCTTGTTCTACTTCTTATATTTTCAAAGTAATCGGGGCCATCTCTGACTTTGAAAAGGACATGTTTCTCCCCTGGTTATTACGAAATTCGAGAAGGGATAATTGATGCCGGAGTGACTGCCCACTTGCGCTGGGCATCCCTCCACTTAGCTGCTGACTCTGCACTCAGCTTCATCCCAGAGGCCTGCCCAGCAAGCCCCTGTCCCAGCATTGAGTGAAAGGACATAGAGACCCACCAGGAATTACCTCCCCACTGCGTGACCTGGTTAAAGAGAGGTTTCCTACTGGCTGGCAAAAACTTTCCAGCTCTGCAAGCTGACAGCTTTTATGGCCATGGAAATGGAACCTTTAAAAAAAATTTAAAAAATAAATGTCTCATTCAGTTTTGCTACTCCATAATTTCTAAGCCAAAAGAAAAACACGAAAAAGAGAAAAAAGAAAAATCAACCAAGAGCAGACAGCCGCTGGGCACATTTATACTTAATACATATGGATGAAGATGTCTGTTATTTATAGAGCCCTTTCCATGTGTCACACTCAGTGCAAAAGGCTTTGCAAACTTTCTCTAGTTTGATCCTCACCCCAGCCCTGTGTGATAGGTAGGATGATATCGTTAGCTGGAACAGAAAGTGGAGGCAGAGGGGAGGGTAAACAGCCTGCTGAGGTCACAGAGCTTGGATTTGAACTAAGATCTGTGGACCCTGGAGCCAACCCTCTTAAAGAAACTTCCACCCAGTTTGTCTTCTGTCAGGACTTCACTGACGGAGGGTTCCTTAGACATGGGGCCTTTCCTGCGCATGTTCAGGTGTGTTTTTATTGTCTTTGAAGCTCCTGCCTCTCTGTGATCTTGCTTCATCGTGGCCTTTCCCTTCAGTACCACCTCATCTTTTTTCACAGAGTGGAAATAAGGTGTCAATCACTACTACCCCATTTGAAAACACATCAATCAAAACAGGACCAGCCAGGAGAAACAGCTATAAGAGCCGGATGGTGAGGCGGAGCAAGAAATCTAAGAAGAAAGAAAGTCTAGAAAGGTTCGTGAAGCTGTTCGTGTTTGTGAGTTTGGTATACACCCATGTTGGAGAAAAGTTACTCCTTCCTTCACTGCTTACCTGCGAGAAAGCTCTATTTCTCTCTGAAAAATGTAAAGGTTCCCATGCATGGTACATTAAACTTCATAGTCAGAATAGCATTAATTTCCATAGTCAGAGGACTTACATAATGACATTGTAGAAGGATTTAAATTGCTTCTTATTGTATGTGGAAGCTAGGAATAGTCCTTTGCTATTTTTTAAGCTTCTTCATTTCAGTTGAGTTGGATTTGAGGAACTGGACTTTCAGGCAGTTTTTAACATTACATCTACATTTAAAATGTCCTTTTACATTATCTAAAGACAGTTACCATTTAAAAAAAAATGCCAGATATTCTAAAATAACTATATCTTTAAAGTTTCCATATAAGCCTAGAATAAACTAGCTTCTGCATGTGTGCAGCCCAGAGGGGCATGGCGAGTACCCTTTTGTGCTCTATGCAGACGCCTGCAAGAGTGTCTGCTTTCTTGCCAGGCTCTGAGTATGCTTCCTCCTGTACCCACTTTGACCTGATCAAATTGCATCATATTAAGAGGTTTTTTTGTTAATAGAAATGCAGAAAAATAAGCAAACAAACAAAAAAAGAATGCTGTATTAACTTTTGGAAAAACAAGCTTACATAATAAAAGAAGAATAATTATGTTTCGCATGGCCCATCTGTGAATAATACTTGCAACAAAATACAACAATAGCCATTTTTCTAACCAAACATTTTGGTTTAGCTGTATTGGGAGGAAGAGAAAAGGGGGAGTGTATTTGGTGAGAAGGCAGAGGGGGGCTGTATAAGAGCTCAGTTCTCGACTTCCGTGGTAGGAAATCAACAGATAATTTCTAAAATTCTAGAAACTGAAAATTGAAAAACTAAAAAGCAGGGTAAACACATTATTTAGCAACATGCAGACAAAGGGGAGAAGAAATGGGTAAACGAGTAGAAAGTGGTGTCTCTGGAGAGTGGAGAGAAGGTAGGGGCGTTTCTGTTTTTCATTATAAGCTCATAGAACTATTTGACTTTTTAACCAGAGTCTAATTATTACTTTGATTAAATTAAACACATACAAGTTCCGGGATCCTTCTTTTCTGTTGTCCCTTAATTTTAATTGTGCTTTAAGTCAGATAGAACAAATTGTTTCAGCGGGGGAACAGTGTGAGACGTTCTGTTGAAGCTCACTGGGGTGGTAAGGTTTATATGAGGGTAAAGAACTCTGGGTGGCCACATGCCCTGAGGACCTCCTCCCCCCCCACCCCGCCCCGGAAGCTGTGCTCTTTCACTTGAGGATGTGCTGGTTGAACACATTTGCCTCTAATGCTGTGTGGTAGCTGCTGCCCTGCAGAGGTTCTATGCTTCTCAAATTTTTCTATGTGAATAAAACACGTTGTTCATAACACGTGTTTGAAACACGTTGTTATTAGGAATATTCAAGAGCCTCCAGTGGAGTAGTACAGCCAGCAGCCCTTCATTGATAAAGCCTCTGCCCGGTGTACCACCATTAAAGCATTCTGTACCCAGGATAACGGGTTCTCTCTCAGAGATTTACTTCGTATTGTGTCTTAATTAAATTGTGTCAGTGTATTTGGGGATGTGTACTTGAATGTATTTTTAATATATTGTATCTTCTTCCTATTTTCCCAGCTCTTTTTTTCCCCCTAGCTCTTCTCAAAAGTGCCTTTGCACATCATAAAAAAGTTTTTAATACAAAAGTGGTTTCCTGCTCTTTAACAGGGTCTGTAGAGACGTTTCACTATCTCTGACATGAGCCGTTGAACTGAATACACTGGTATTGTGGGGAGGCAGGAACAGTTCTGACAGTTGACACTCATCCATTTTTGCCTGTTTTCACTCTAGGAGGAGATCCCTTTTCAAAAAGCTAGCCAAGCAGCCTTCTCCGTTACTCCACACCAGCCGAAGTTTCTCCTGCCTGAACCGGTCGCTGTCCTCAGGAGAGAGCCTCCCTGGCTCACCCACTCACAGCCTGTCTCCCAGGTCTCCCACGCCAAGCTACCGCTCCACCCCCGACTTCCCATCTGGTGAGTGACTTTCCCAGTCTGGACCGTGGCAGAGAGTGCAGAAGAGGCAGGGTTACAGACTGAGGATGTAAATGCTACAGACGAGATTCATAGAATGGTTCTAAGATACAGCTATTCTGACCTGTAAAATAAGGCAAGAAGTCTGGGGCTAAATTGCAGTGTGGGAGGTTTAGCCAAAAGTGTTTATTTTCACTGGTTAGAGACCGAGACGATATGACCTGTAACATTGACCTGACCTTACCCGACATAGTCTGGGCTATGTATAGAAGGAAAAGTAGAAATGACCGTGGATGCTAACAGCCTTCTGTTTTCTACCCACAGGAACTAATTCCTCCCAGAGCAGCTCCCCGAGTTCTAGTGCCCCCAATTCCCCAGCCGGATCGGGGCACATCCGACCCAGCACCCTTCATGGTCTAGCCCCCAAACTCGGGGGACAGAGGTACCGCTCAGGAAGGCGTAAGTCGGCTGGCAGCATCCCACTCTCCCCATTGGCCCGGACACCCTCTCCGACCCCACAGCCTACCTCTCCTCAGCGGTCACCGTCCCCTCTTTTGGGACACTCTCTAGGCAATTCCAAGATCGCGCAAGCCTTTCCCAGCAAGATGCACTCCCCACCCACCATCGCCAGACACATCGTGAGGCCCAAGAGCGCAGAGCCGCCCCGGTCCCCGCTGCTCAAGCGCGTGCAGTCAGAGGAGAAGCTGTCGCCCTCCTACAGCAGCGACAAGAAGCACCTGTGCTCACGCAAGCACAGCCTAGAGGTGACTCAGGAGGAAGTGCAGCGGGACCAGTCCCAGCGGGAGGTGACGCTGCAGAGCCTGGAGGAGAACACGAGTGATGCGCCACCCCTGAGCCGCGCCCGGCCCGTGGAGCAAGGCTGTCTGAAGCGCCCAGTCTCCCGGAAGCTGGGCCGGCAGGAGTCTGTGGATGAGCTGGACCGGGATAAGCTGAAGGCCAAGGTGGTGGTGAAGAAGCCAGACGGCTTCCCTGAGAAGCAGGAATCCCATCAGAAGTCCCATGGGCTAGGGAGTGACTTGGAAAATCTTGCTATCTTTAAGCTAGAAGAGAGAGACAAGAAAATCCATCCGAAGCCTTTAGAAAGGTCAAACCATTTTGAAAGCAAGTCCGCCATGCAGGAAGGCCAGTCTCTGGGCAGTTTGCTGAAAGACGCTCTTCACAAGCAGGCCAGCGCCCGTGCCACTGAGGGTGTGGCCTCTGATGGGGCCTTGGCTGGCTCTGGCCTGGCACACGGTGAGCACAGCCAAGGTGGCAGGGACTTCAAACAGGTCTCCATTCCTGGGACCCTCCAGGACGGTCTCTGTCACTCCATTGATAGGCCCCCCTCCGGGAAGGGGGAAAACACAGAGAAGACCAAGGAACTTCTCCGATATGAGAAGTTAGACAGCAAGCTGGCCAATATTGATTACCGCCGGAGGAAAATGTCCCTTGAAGACAAAGATGACAGTCTCTGCCACATGGTGAAGCCCAAGACGACAGCTAGTCCCCATGAAAGCCTGCCAGGGAACTCAGTCCGGCCCGCAGGTGGGCAGCAGGAGCCCCCCACAGCCTCCGAGAGCCGAGCCTTCATCAGCAGCTCCCACGCAGTTCAGATCAGCACTGGCTCTTTTGTTCCCCTCAAGGGCTTAGCTGGCCGGGTGGACAGTGGAGCAGAGAAGCCCGGCTTGGTTGCTCCTGAGTCTCCTGTGAGGAAAAGCCCCTCGGAGTATAAGCTGGAAGGCAGGTCTGTATCGTGCCTAAAGCCCATTGAGGGCACTTTAGACATTGCTCTCCTGTCTGGACCTCAGGCCTCTAAGACAGAACTGCCTTCACCAGAGCCTGCACAGAGTCCCAGCCCAGGTGGTGATGTGGGACCCTCTGTGCCACCAGCTCTTCCCAGCAGCAGCAAGAAAAAGGGAGAAACTGCCAATCCAAAAGAGTCTTCTCCTGTCTGCGTAAAGATGAATAAATGCCATCTGCTTGAGCCTAGGTTCCTGCCCCCTAGTCGGGGTCTCCAGAATTCACCAGCAGCTCCCTTGCCTGACTCAGAACTAAAGCAGAACAGGAAAGTTTCCCATCCTGCTGCCAGAAGCACAATGACAGTCATGGGAAACAATCCCCAGTGGAGAGAGAGTGCCCCCCCCAAGCACCAAGACCACACCACTGACACCCAGCTCCTCCCCTGCCCGGGGCAGGGCCTCCATGGCACTGACCCAGCCAGGCCACGTGGCCCACTCCCACCTGGAGGTACCTCCTTCAGGGAGAAGCCAGGCTCGAGAGAATCCTCTGAAAGGGGCCCTTCCATAGCCCGAAGTGAGAGGTCTGCTACGCGGGCTGATGTATGCAGAGACTCCTCTGTGGAGCCGTGCCTGCCAGGAACTTCTAAAGCCAGTGACAACCCCAGAAATCTCCCCTCTGTGGGAAGGGCCCACCCAGATTTCTACGTGCAGACCCAGGCCATAGAGAAAGCATGGGGGCCTTGTGGGAAAACCAGTCACAGGGATGGCCAGGAAGAGGTAAAGCTGCTGGCCAGAGAGGATTCCTCTTTGCAGTCAGCTGAGGGTCTGTGTGAGAAACAGCTAGGCAAGGTGAGAAGTGGCCCGGAACCCAAGTCTGATGCCCCTCCTGCCAGGCAGTCTCTGCAGCCACCTGGAATTGAGAGTGGAAAGGGTGAAAAGCTCTCCACTTTCCCATCTTTGCAGAAAGATGGTCCCAAGGACCCTGAAAGGAAAGAGCAGCCTCTGCAAAGACACCCTGGCAGTAGCCCTCAGCATACCTTGACCTCCAAGGAGCTGCCCAGCCTTGCCTCCTGGCAGCACTGCAATGCCCCAAGCCAGGCTTCCAGCAGAGAGCTGGGGACCAGGGCCAGCTCTGCAGAACCCACCCTGGCCCCCCCAGATCCCCCAAAGCCTGCTGCTTTGCGGGACCCCCTGGATCCCCCAAAGCCTGCTGCTTTGCCCAGTGAAAGCAGTAGCCATAAGCTCCGGCCGGCCCCTGACCCAGGCCCTGGCAAGTCTAAGCACCCAGACAAGTCCCTCTCCTTACAGAAACCAAGCATCGGGTCTGCGAAGGACAAGGAGCCTGTCACTCAGCCACTGGCCAGCTCTAGCAGGGAGGGGAAGGGCAGCAGTAAGGGGGGGTTGGATGTCTTCCCTGCCGTCCCAGGTTCTCAGAGCAAAGCCAGTGATGCGACTGCCCAAGGAGAAAGTCGGCCCTCTGTCCCACCGCATACCAAAGGGGGTCCTGCAGCCACCACACTGAAACCCACCAGTGGTGCGCATCCCCCAGAGATGCTGGACAAGCCTGCGCATTTGCCGAGGCAAGGGCACCCAGGGATTAGTGAGCCAGGGGATCTGCAACCCTCCCCTGTCAGTGAAACGCAAAGCCTATCTCCAAAGCACCCCCAACCATCCACTGTGAAAGATTGCCTCCCTCCGTGCAGACAGACAGACAGAAGCACGACGGGTCAGCAGGCCGCCGCCACCTCCACCACTGCCACCGACAGGAAGCCCGAAGGGAAGAAACGCACAGACGCACTTTACGTTCCGGCAGACGGCGCGAAGCTCGAGGCCAGCCCTGCCCTGGCACCCGGGGAGACCTGGCTGACGGGTGTGGAGAGGCCGGCCACGGCCACGGCCACGGGGGCAGGGAGGGGCTTCACAGAGGCCAAGGGGAAAGGGCCCAGTCCCCAGAAGCCGGTGCCTGAGGCGGGCAAGCCCAGCAGCATGAAGCGGTCGCCCTCGGCCACGGGACAAAGTTCCCCACGCTCGGCTGCCCTCCTGGAAAAGTCTCTGAGCTACTCCTCCAGCTTTCCTGAAGCCAGGCCCACGGTCCGGGAGGCCTTTACAACCAACAGCGACACCTCTTTGGCTACGGCCAGTGGAGGCACAGTTGACCTCCCAGCCTCCAGCAACAGGGACCACAGGAAATGTCCATCTGGGGGGGATGGCAGAACCCAAATGACAAAGAGCGACTCTTTGCCATCCTTCCGGATTTCCACCACCACTCTGGAGTCACACCACCCCGACCCCGTCGCGACAGGCGGAGCCAGCCACCGGGACAGGGCGCTCTCAGTAAGTGCCTCCATAGGAGAAGCCAAAGGGAAGGAGCCTGCCCCCGCCCAGCCGCCCCCAGCCCGGAAACAGAACGCGGGCCGAGAAGTGACCAAGACCTTCCCAGCCCCAAACTCGGACCGCCCGGTCACCCTTTCTTCTGAGAAGGACTTTGTGGTACGGCAGAGGCGGGGGAAAGAGAGTTTGCGTAGCAGTCCTCACAAAAAGGCCTCCTAACGGGGCAGATCCTGGGGGGACGGTAGTGACCGGCCAGAATGTGTGACTGTGTCTTGATGACCTTTCGAAACCAGCACTGTGTGGGGATGTTGCCAGGCAGAGCTTGGAGCCTCATTGAGGAAGGAGAGAGAGACAGAAAGAGGGGACCTTCTTCCAGATGCCTTCCCAGTTGTAACCGGTAAAACTGTTACCAGATAGTGTTTGTACAAAAAAATACCTTGACAGTTGAGGGTTGTTGAGGAAAAAAAGGTTTTCCTGTAAATACATAGCAATGTGTCTGGTTTGGGATGTAGAGTCTTGACCTTGCTGCTGATTGCGTCGTTTACTACAGCTTTTTTTTTTTAAACAAGATTTTTGCTTTACCATTCATCATAACGTAATAGTGAAGCAAAATGGCCAAAACTGGGTGTGTGTGAAAGTATAGATGCGCTCCTATCTGTGGGTAGACACATCCGCCCACGGGTTTTGGTCTGAGATTTAAGAGAATATTTCAAGGTTCCATTTTTATAAGCTACAACATTCTAAGTGAAGTGAAAGATGGAAGAAAGCCCTAACTACAGTAGATTGTGAGTTTTTATGTGTATTTTTAACAGGAGATTCTGATAGCACTATATCTGGCTACCTATGTTTCCAGATCTAAAAGCAGGAACTACTCTCATGGCTGCATTTGGAATCCTCCTCCATTGGGAATGGCGGCACAAATGGAGCCAGCCGTTTTCATTTCACATTTTGATCCTGGGTCCAACTGTCTAAAAGGCCAGTTGTCCTTGTCTGTGGATGTGTGTGTCTGGTCTTCACCCGAGGCAGAGCCGGCACCGCAAACACACATCACCTTTACTTCTGCTCTCCTCCTTCCTTTTTAAGCTGTTCGACTCAGGCCTTTATGCTGTGAGTGACTAGAGCAAGAAGCACACGCTCTGGAGTCCAGAACCAGCCCTGCTCTGGAATAGAAAGGAAAATGAGTGGCTGCACACGAATGTGCTAGTGCTTAGGTGGAGTGCTAAGCGTCAGGCATTGGAAGAGGTTTTCAATTTGCTTTTGTGAGGAAAAGAACTGGGGTGTGGGGGGGGATTGGCATCATAGCATCTATATTAAGGACTAATCAGGACATCAGATACATTTTAATACATAGCTGGGGCCTTATGTTGTAGACGAGGCTTGCTGTTTTTAGCAAGTTCCTGGGTTTCACATTCATTTCTAATGCATCAGGTAGCTCCCTACATTTCATAACATGATCTCTTTATTTGTATGCAAAAAAAAAAAAATAACTATTAATAAAGAGCAACATTTTTGTAACAAAAAGACTTGTTGGAGCTATTTGGTGCTTGAATGTGACCATCCTTTTTACTTTTGCTAAGCCTTATTTAAATTTTGTATACTGTGGAATATGTAGAATTTGTAAGATCATTTTAATGCTGAAGGTTTCTGATTTAGCGGGGGCGGGGGGGGCTTTTGTTGCAGGTTTTTTTTGTGTTTGGTTTCTTTTTGTTTTGTTTGGTGGCTCGTATTGTAACATGGCACTTGCTGGCATAAGTACTAAAGCACTAAGAGAAAACACGGGTAAGTGTTAGATGCATGAGAACCACAGCAGGAATCATTTATTTTGTTTTCTAAGAGGAAAAATAAAATGACCAACAAATAACTAATTCAGCACCCAACCCCCCGCAGGGATGTTTTCGTATCTTCAGGCTATAAAATTGTTTAAGCACAGCGTCATTTACAGCCTGTGGATTGTAAATCTTTAGGGAGGCTATAAACTCCACCTTGAAAACAAAGGCATAACTTAACTATTTTGTTGTCCTTTGTTGTAAAATAAGTTGGCAAAGCCCCCCGCAAAAGAAAGAAAGAAAAGAAAAATGTCTCCTCTTTGCCTCTATTTTTTTTTTTTTTGAGATGTAGTCTTTATTTGTGTCCCCCAAGTAGAGAGCAGTGGCACCCTTATAGCTCACGGCAACCTCAAATACCTGGGCTCAAGTGATCCTCCTGCCTCAGCTTCGCAAGTAAATGGGAGTACAGGCACCTGCTACAGTGCCTGGCTAATTCCCCTATTTTAGTAGTGATGGGGTTGTGCTCTTGCTCAGGCTGGTCTCACACTCCTGAGCTCTAAGCAGTCCTCCCACCCAGAGTACTAGGATTACAGTCTCGAGCCACTGCAGCCAGGCCCTAATTTTTTCCCATGTGGTTTTAGTCATTCCACAACTCTACATTATGAAGCTGCAGAAGAAACACAAATTTTACAAGAATTTGAATGGGTTTCAGGAGTGTTCTCAGCATTTATAATGCTTATCTGCGTTTGGTGGGTATCCTAATCCAATCCTACACTCAGCCGTGGAGACAGGTCTGTCGGGGAGGTAGTTCATGGTTTACAGCCTTTGTTTTTTAACTGTTCAGTTTCCTTTAAAGCACAACTAGCTGTTTACAAATGATATTTTTATGTATATCTTGTATAGCATACTATCATTTTTGCCAAATACGTTTTTCATTATGGACGAGTAAAGAGTACTTAAGGTTGCATTCATGTGATACCTGTTGTCGTAAACCTCTCCAATCAGCTGGTAGAAATTCTCCTAGTTGTGTTCTAGTTGTTCAGTCTCTGTGTGATCGTAAGACGTGCTCCTCAGTAGTACTCCCAGCTGTAGATTTACCAGCTTAAAAGTTTGTTAGGATCTGTGCAATAAAGTGTTTGCAGTCTTATTTTCTCTAAGAAATTCCTGATGGATGTCATAATTGTTGTATATTGAACAAAATATTTATACTTATGCAGTTGCATAACATTGAAATAAAAATTTAGCATGAAAGATAATGACTGTTTTCTAATATGCTCATATGCGCACCACCTCCAAGAATATTAGTGATTATTACTCTGTGGTATGGAAAGTACGGGTTTCTGCAAATTGCTTTCTGCGGTGTGGAACAGTTTCCTCTTTTTTTTTTTTTCCACTAACAGTCACTTCTTCAGGATTTAGTCCCCTGTCACTCCTTCCTATTTTCCCTCCCAACCTACTTCCTTGCCTGTAGAACCTACCAACTTCCACACCACCCCTCACCATCTTCCCACAGCCTCCAGGGAAGAAGTGCCCTTTCTCTGGGTACCATCTTTGTTCTCCCAAGATCTCGCTCCACCTGTTACTATCATCACCCTCACTATTCTCTTTTCCCTTCCTCTTCTTTCCTTCCAGAACACCCTTTCCTTAAGTTAGTTAGTGAGTTAGTTATAGACAGTCTCTCACTCTGTAGCCCTCAGTAGAGTGCTATGGCATCACAGCTCACAGCAACCTCAAAATCATGGGCTCAAACCGTCCCCCTGCCTCAGCCTCCTGAATAGCTAGGACTGTAGGTGCCCACCACAATGCCCAGGTTTTTCTGTTATTAGTAGAAACAGCGTTTCCCTCTTGCTCAGGCTGGTCTTAAACTTGCACAATCCGCCCACTTCGGTCTAAGAACACCCCTTCCTCAACCTTGCCTTTTCCTTCCTGCCCCTTCTCAGCCGACCTCCCAGAGGAATAGTCTGCACTTGATGTTTCCAGGTCTTTGTATCACTCCTCACCTCACTGGAATCGGGCTTCTTTACCCTAAGCTGGCAGCATTGCTCTGAGGAATGACACCAGTGACAAAGCTGAATCCAAAGCCCACTCTTCCCGGCGTCCCTTGGCAGACCATCCCCTGGAGCACCAGTCCTCCCTGGCGCTCTTCTCTCCTAGTTCTCTCCAACCTGTGCTTTCTGTCTCTTTTGACCATTTCTTCTTCCTCCTTCTAGAACTCATTCCCTTAAACACTGATGTTTCCCGGGGCTCATTCTGGGGCTTCGGGGCATTTCTCTCTGTCACTGCTCCCTGGGCTTTCCTTTCAGAGGCATTTCCCCTCGGCTCCTGCTCAGGTCCCTCACCTCTAAATGTCCCAACCCTGCGCATTCTCTGTGCCGCCTCTCTCAGTCACACTGATGCCCTATCTTCCCTCCTAGTCCTGGGTTTCTATCTAGACTTCTTTCTCTCTTTACACCTAAAACCAAAACAAGCAAAAAAACCCCCAACTACCACCAATTTCACAAAACGCTCTGTGCGATTCCTTTCTCCTCACTCTCCTGCTACTGGCGGCCTTAGTCTCGTCTCTATCATACTCTCTCCCCGTATTACGCTACTCTTACCCCTTCCAACCTGTTCTCAGTGTCTCAGCGCGATGCTTCTCAAGTGCAAGCATACCACGTCCCTTTGAGTCTTCAAAGCGCTCCCATGTTTTTTGGGATGAGGGCCAGCTCCTTAAACACGCCAGCTCAGCAGGTGTGCAGGGACCGGGCCCCTGCTGTGGCCTCTCTGCCTTCTCGTCCCTGTGCACCCACCTCACTGCATTATTTTGGAGCTGTTTCTCTGTGTGCGTGTTCTTCGCTAGATTCTAAGCTCCCCCAGTCTGTGTCTTGTTTGCTTTTACTTCTAGGATGAAACACATAAGAGCTGTCAATATTTGCTGAACTGAATTGACTAAGACAGGAAGTTAGTGGCAGCCACCATCTGTGGTGCTTCCCAGGAGCCAGCTCCGGCACCGTGTATGTCTCTCTTCGTCTCTGTGCCCTTTGAGCTATATGTTGCTTCATATTAGGAATTAGGAAACCAAGACTCGGAGACGTTAAGTGACCACCCCTCACGATAGGCAGACTGAGACTGGAAATCTGGAGAGCAATCTGACAGGACATCCCACACGTTAGCCTCTACGATGAGACTCGCCTCCCTGCCACCACCCCGATCTGCTGCAGTACACCCTCCAGGATGAAAGGGAACAGATTGTGACCTAATGATTTTCACTGCCTGCGTGACACAGCTTTCCCTGCTTAGAGGAATCCACTCTAAGAAACACATTTTTAAAAAGTAATGATGGAAATGATCATTTCAATGGGACTTGATATCATGCTATGAAGAAGAGTCAGTGTTCACTGTAAAAGGAAAATCCCACAAAGGATATTAAGCACACATATCGCAGAGCCAATAATAATAGCCACAGCCCCAGTGCTAGCTGTTAGATGACCAATTTAGAGCAAACACATGAACTTTGTAATGGAAACAAGGGAAAGGTTGACGTTTCGGGGAGATGTATAGCGATTGAGACTGGGTAAAGCTACTGAGGTGATTAAAGGGCAGATAACTGGACAGACGTGCTCTTGGGGTCTCACTACTCTGAGGCAGAATTTTGTAGACCACATTTCACCATCCACGTGGTGTTCTT